CTAAGTGGCATGGCACAGCTCATGTCCCAGTTTCCATCTCCAAGCCCAGACCAGGTTGGCCTCACTTTTCTCTTACCCCCATGCCCAGCTGGGAAGGGGCCCTGGCCTGGGCTGGGCTGTCCTGTGAACCACATGCTGGGAGAACATGTTGGCATAATGCATATCATGCCAGAAAAAGTGGGAGCAGTTAAACATAATGGACAACAGTGTGCCAGGGCTCACATCTGAGCCATGAACCTCCTAGTTTACAAACAGAACATCAGAGTTGACTGTTGCTGCTGGAAATTAAGGCTTTTACTCTGTGTGTGAGCTGCCGATTCAGCCTTACTGCACCTTCAGGAACAGAGAAACAACTTTGACTCCTCTGCTTTTTAAGAAATTTAGGTTTACTACAGCCAACAACGTGTGCTATTAATTCACAATTAATACATACGGAGTGCCTTCTACTGAGAGGACTGACTGCTGTAGCAATATGTAGATTCCTATTAAGATAAAGTAAAACATTTTCTTTCAGAGTTACCTTAATGCCAGCAAAAAATTCCTTGCTCTCAACTGAAGAACTTTGTATATCTGGCTTCTCCACAAAAAAAGCAGAACTGCTACAGTAGACCTGTAAGGCAAAACCAGAGTAACAGGATACATTTTTGGTATGAGCGGTCTTTCCTTTTCAACATCACTGAACTAACACTGTCAGCCAACTATTCAAAAAGTCTCCAAAGGATTTTTGAAGATTAGCAATTGCTATTGTTGTCCATAAGCCATCCAAGTAGCCTGGCTTTGGCTTGAACATACATGCACATGCACACCACCATGTGCTTTTTTGGGGTTTCATTTGGTCAAGAAAAATTAACGTGTATTTTGGTATATACAGGCAGAAAGCTTATTGATTTTCCAATGCTTAAGCTTCTCAAGCCTAGGTCTTGATTCTGCTATCACAGAAGGTAATGCAGGTACTCCCAAGGCTTTTGATGGCAGAGACAAAACCGTTTAAATTCAATACTAGAGACAAAACCATCAAGCAGCAGTGCATTATTGATTCAGAGAAAAGACATCTATCTAATGAATCAACAACACAGCTTCTCACAACCTCTGGCTCTTACAACCTCTCACTTAGGTGCAGTTGCATGCAAAATCCTCTTAATTTATAGTATCAAAAAAAAAATTACAGTACAGGATGAAGATGATGCAACTTGAATAAACATTTACTCCCTGGAGGCACACTACTGAGACAGTCTCAAAACATTAATGGCAGTAATAATTACTTATCTATTCCATGGTATTTCCACATTCACATGGGCACTGTTGGTGTAAGCAACAACCAGAGGCAGTATGCTCCGTTCAAGAAAAATTATACAGCAAGATGCCGAAACTCTGTCTCTAGCAACTGTTACTGTCTACTGAGACATAGTCACAAAGATACAGAGATAATAATTTTATTTTAACATACTCTGTCTCCCAGTCTGATGCTTATCCCATCTAGTTCTAGAAGTGAGAAGCCATGAAATGCTGTTTCATGTTTCAGTTCTTCTTTGATACCTTCAGGAGAAAGTCTTGACCAAGTTACAGTGAATCCAACTGAGCTGTTTGCAGAAGGAATGCCAAAGGTACACCTAAGGTAAATGCTGCCTTTGATCAGCTCTGCTACAACTTCAGGAATGGGTGGTAGTGGTGGTGACATGAATGGAGATGATGAAGGAGCCAGGTTACCTAGTCAAACAGAAGTGTGGTTTGTGCTTTTTATTCTGTGCAAAACCAGTATTGGATGAAATGACATTGACATGTATTTTTCCAATTAATACACTAATAATACTTACCTTTTTTCATATGGGGAAATATTACATAGTTTCTTACAGAATCAGAAAATAGGTATGTTCCTTTTATTAATTATTAAAAGGAGAAAAACCTCTTTATCAGTCTTCAGGAAGGTGCTGAAGAGTAGGGAAACAAAAAAAAACCAAACCAAACCAAACAACCAACAACCAAGCAAACAAAAAACCCCACCAAGGGAATAAAATACAATTAATTATTTTACCTGGCAGGAGAGTATAGCCTGTGAAGGAATTTGCCTGACAGAAGAATATCTTCTCTACTTATGAAGAAAAAGCGGGGGGTGGGGGTGTATGGTGGTGGTATAGGAAACAGGAAAAACAAAAAAGGCTACATAAAAAGGAACAGATTAAGCAACAGTATGATCTGTAGATTCATCTTATATCTGACTCCCAAAGAATCAAGGTAATCTGTAAATCAGCATTTTAAAAATCATTTTTTAATACTCTGGTACATTATGCTGAGAACATACTTTTGTAATCCAAGGTCTGAAATTACCTCCAAACTGCTCATTTTGCAACAGACTGAGCAATACTGTTGAGAACATGAACATGTTTTTATTCAAGACAAAATATTCAAGACTAAGTGTTGACATTATTGTGTTACAGATGCACAGAAAATCTTGAGTATTTTCAAACCAAAATACTCACTGCTACAGACGCCTTGAATTTCCCTTCCCTCAGGATCACAGGCTTTGCATTCGAAACAACTATAAATTGTTCTTAAATTGTATATTTATACTCAAACAGGGTATGTACACCAATCCTCTTAAATTACTGCCCTGTGTTAAAAATATACCAAATATCACAAGGCACTAATTGAAGTTTAAACTAGCAGAACAGAAGCAATCTTGTAATTGGATCCATACACAATTATCACAGCAGTCAGTACAAAGCCTTGTATTGGAAACCACAAGTAGATTAGCTACACCTGGGAGGAAGGGTACAGAACATTCCACCACTTCCACATCTTTTACTGCAGATGTACCCAGCCAATATTTATACATGTTGTTAGTGAATAAAAAGGAATTAAATTTTTCTCTTGACTATATAATTTGTCTCCCCAAATCCACAATCTGAATGCTCATTCATTGACTGTAGCCCTGGACAGCCAAATCCAGTACAAACCTTCTTTGAAAAAAATCATCTTTCTTACATGGGCCTAAGAAAAAGTGCTTGTGCATTGCTATGTTTGGTACTTTGAATGTTATAAAACAAACAAACAAAAAATCAAGTGGAACTTTTATTAAACTTTAGAATACCAGTGCACTTGTACCAGGAGTAGAAATCGGTTAGTCACTCCACTCAAGTTAAGTCCAAAGGGCATCAGCAACACTGAAAAACCCACTTACCAGAAAGAATGAAGAGCAGATTTTGATGTTCCACTCAAGCATTGAAATGCTTGAATTGCTGAGCATATAGAGACTGAAAATTTGCATCAGGTATTTACAGCTATCAAGTGTTAAAGAGAAAACACAGTCCACATGGTAACCTAGACATAAAAAGCAGCACAAGAGTACAATGCACTTCTCATGAAAACCTCATCATAAAAGAGGGCTTTTAAACTCCAAATGCATTTTGGATTTACAGTATTCAGCAGAGCCAAACCAGTTATGTTTCTTGCCTCCTCTTTTGAGGCAGTAAAAATTTGCTACCTCACTGCCTATGTTTTTTATATCCCGCTTCTCTTCATGAGCCATCACCCGAAGTAAATGCAAAATCCTATAGTGCAGGAGTTCTTCACTGCTTCAGTCGCTTGCATACTTAAATGTCCCATTTCTGGCTTTTTTTTTTTCCCTGTCAATAAACCCTTGGAGAATGCCTTAGCAATTGGATCTAAAGGTATAATAATGGACCAATAAAGCACTAGAAAACCCACTGATAGTTTTGCTATTAAGCTTTTTAAAGCAGTTGGTAATACAGAATATGACTTAGAGCAATACAGTATATGATGCATAGAAATACTGCTAGTATTTTCACAAAGGTATGTTATACAAGCTAGTAAGAATTTCCTACTACACTAATTTGTCACTGCTTCACAGTATTTATAACTATGAGGATTTAACCATCCCTTCCTTTAGTTATCTAAAACATCTGGCATGGATAATGAAACACTGAAGTTTTGAGCTATGAACACCAACCCACTTTTGTAGCACAAGGGTTCAAGACAAAGCAAGAAACTGCAAAAGGACTCAAGTTTTTTCTCATAGTACTAACAGTGTATCAGTAGAGCATTTCTGTGTTGAATTTTCTTCTAGCAACAATGTGTATGCTCTCCAGAAAGATAAAAGAGTTACAATAAAAAAAAAATAAAATACTCCTAATGGTACTAACCAGTAATTGATATAAATACATGTTGGTCAAGTTGTTAAACAGAATTTACTCTGACACGTACACGTATTCAGTAATGGGTATTTGCAAAGTATGAGTGCCATTGTAGGTACTCTGAATTTTGACTTCTAGATGCATCTTATATCCCCACTTCATACGGAAAATTTCAATGGTTAAGTTTGTGGGTTTTGAACAATACTGGAATACTAAATGTAAGTTAAAAAGGGGTGGTGTGAACCATACTGAATAATTTTTCTTTTATATCAGTATTAAAGATTGCAAGAAATTTTAACATATCTAAGTATTTCTAGACATTTCTGTTCAGCCAAATACCAGAGAAACACACTTACTCATAAACACACACACTTTGCTGAGTTAGAGCATGCATTTTCTCACCTTCTGCACAATACCCCATGCATCCTTGGGTGGGCTGCAGTAAGTAAACAAAGAAATCTCCGCAGTTCCTCACACTGACAGGGATTCGGAAAAGACAGCAGTCTTTTGAAGCGCTGAAGAAAAACTGCCATGTAGCACAAGCTGTTAACTGTTTGATCTCACCAGGTCTAGGCATGGATTCTGACTCCCTCAGAGACAACCAGACAGGGGCTTGAGTACCGCAGTGATTCATCTTCAGCACCAGAGAAAAACATCAGAAAATGGTTAATGCTGTATCAAACTGTTGCTGTGCTTTAATGAGGTGCATATGTATTCATTTCATTTCCTACATGAGCTTTTAGCAAAGTTTAGACAGTATACTGAGGGCTCAATTACTTTCTTCCTCAAGGTTGAATACAAATACACACAAAAGAGATTTAAGTCCTTCTTTGAGTCAGTCCAATGAATTTGTGTTTTTAAAGACAGGCTATAATTCAGTGTCTGAAGAACTTAACCAGGAGCCACATCTGAGTATCTTGCCTCAAAAAGCTAATAGTTGTATTAAGGCTTAGTGAGTTACTCCACATCCATTAACCTACAGAAAATGACTATGTGAATGCTACCGGAGCACAGCAAACACAGGATAGAACATATGCACCTTGAATATCAACTAAAGGTGCTAAAGCTGACATGTCTCATCTGCCCTTTGCCATGGACTGCAGGCTCAGCTAACCTCCTGGATCTCTTCTAAGAGATATGGCCAGCTGATGTGAGGTTACTGATTTTTAGCCTTTGCCAAAAATGCTAGACACCTGATAAGCCCCATTTGTCTTTCAATTCCCCACCTTTAGAAATAGATATGCTTGTAGCACCCCCCTGTAACAACCACAGTGGCACTGTAGCAACCTTAAGTCCTTTGGTGTTTACAAAGCAGTAGGCTCCACAAGGTCTGTGGTTCAGATGCTGATTGAACAGGTGATTTAAGAGGGCTGTTGTTCCCTCTCGAAAACAAAAGCCTTGTTTAATGTTTTTCCTCATGGAGTGAGAAGTGTGCTGTAGAATAGCCTTCACTCCTTACCACTGCGGGTGGCTATGTGAGGTCTTCAGGTCAAGGAAACTGCAATGCTGGTCACAACTTAACAGTAGTACCACTTGTGGTAACTGTAGGATAAATCTGATTTAGCAGATACAAGAGTTTATCAGTGAAATACAGAAAAATGAATCCTGAGAAAAGGAGACAAAGGAGGATCATGGATTACCAGAATGAGTTAAAGATCACCTCCTGTCTTTCATGTTCTGCAGAAACCAAACTAAAGAGAAGCACCTAGAAGGACACAGTGTGTTAAAGCCAGCATCTGGAAAATATTTACAGGAAAACTGTAAATCTGAAATTGTGACATTTGGAGAACCTCTTCTTCTCATACATTGCCTCAGGTATTCTTTTCTTTGACCTGATAGTGAAACAGTGTCAGATCAACTCATCTTTAGATCTCATGGTCTAAAGACAACTGCAGACTCATTGAGCAATTACCTCAAAAGTATACTTTTCTTTCTTAATCTAGAATATTTGAGCCCACCATCAACCCAGCAGACAGAATTAATGAGAAATAGACAGAAATAGGATGAATTGCTTAACAGAGTCTGAATCTCTGACAAGCATTAAATACACCTATAATAAAAGTTCTAAAGGGAAAGAAAGGAGGAAACTTCCCAAACAAGACATCCATTTTAGTTTGGTTTTAATGTTTTGACTTTGGGATTTCAAAATAGATGTCTTGTTTTTGTCAACAGATGCAAAGAAGCAGATGTCAATGCATAAATTTTGCTTGCTGAGTAACTTTTGAATCCATCTCTTTCCAACTGTAATTATCTGGGCTCCTCTGTGTTAGGATGGTAGTTTATCGTTACCAAATATTTATTAAGGACTGAGTGAGAACTTTGATCAGATTTCTAAAACTTTCCTGGGTGTTCAGAGCAGGTATTTTGCTAGCCTAACCTCTGTGCTGCAAAACACGTTGGTTCTTCTCCTGGTTTATCATGCTCATTCTTTGCATAAAAGTACCCATTTTGAGAAAGTGCAACTAGTTGATTAGTCTGTCGATATTAAATCTAACTGAAAGAAATTCCTTCGGGAATCATACTTTCGGCTAGGTTTTTGCAGTGTAAAAGCCCGGATAACAGTAGCCTTTGTAACACAGCCCTCTGAGTCCTTGAGTCAGCTAAAAATTAAAGATACTTCAGTTGCTTTATACTAATGTAAAGATTTAATAAGTAATTTAAAAAAGAGGGGCTGTTATAATTCAATTTTATTAATACGTTCTAACTGGTGGGTATTCCTTTTTTTTTGAAGAAGGAAATGTTTTAAAATAAGAAACTACAAAGAGATATCTTATTAGAATATAACGTTACAAAAAAGTTGGTATGCTCCAAAATAAAGCACTACAAGACTACAAGTCTAAAGTATTAAATATTCCAATTAATTCTTGAGTCTTACGGGACTTGCAGATGACAAGGCAACTAATCTTCAGTTATCTCTGTTAGACCAAGTCATTTTAGGAATAATCTCTTCTAATATGATCACTTTAAAAGCTCAATTACTGGATTCATGTTGCTGCAAGTGTTCACACAGCTTTCATATGGCCTGCCTAACAGACTGACCATCACACAGTTGCAGCTTTACAACGTGATATCCCTGCTACGCTACCACTGAGAAAATCTTTAGCAAGGACCACAAATGACAGGTTTTGAGTGTCTAAAAGGGATGTAATTTATCATCCTCTGCTACTGCCCTTTCAATATAAAATTTTCAACACTAAAACTTAATTGTCCAGTTAACACATTTTACCATACCCGAGTATTTAGAAAGAATAGGTACTCTGTATTCCTCCTCATCAGTCTCCACAAGCATATTTTTCCATACCATATCCTACTGGTAAATTCTTACAAATAAATATGTATTTTTCATAATCAAATGAGTTGTAACAGTACCTCCACGCACTTGGTCGGCATCTCAGCAGGCTTATCAAATATCATAAAGCGGTACCATCCTGGTGTTAAGGAATGGTCACATATTAAATCCTGAATAGCTGATTGCTGGAGGTGGGTTGAATCGAAATCAATGCTTCGGTAAGGGCTCTGCAGGATCTGATGCCCACCAGGAGAGCATTCAAGAACTGTGGAGCAAGAGTAGTTGGAGTATCAAGGTGGAATGCCTAACAAGTCTGTTAGAAAAGAGGTTAAGTATTTGTAATGGGAAAATTAGGATATATTGCAGTATGATGTGAAGCTACTTTTACTGAAAAACACATTCAAGTGTTAGTAACAACAACAAATAGGTATGTTGGCACTCTAAAATGTAACAGAATTCATCATGTGGTAACTTTCCCTTCTTTCAGTTGACAATAAATACTAATTAATAACCACTTTATCCATTTACCCGAGATGTGAAAACAGTGGAAAGGAATATGTTTACACTTTCTCTCCAGATTTTGACTTTCTAATTCCACTGATGTTTAAGAAATCTAACAATCTGAATAAAATGGGGTGTCAGATGTATGAAAGGATCAAAATCTTACCTCAAGAGCAGTAAGGATTATCCAAAGTTCTTTTGGAAATAGGCGACTGTTTTATAGGGTTCTTATGCATGAAATGAAGAATTCCTTCAGATGGGTGAGAGGTAGTTTGCATGTGTACATGCGCACCATAGCAGAAGTGTGTACTGAAATGGGCAGATACTTAGGTACATATTTTAAGTCAATTTGCATAACTGGCATGCTAAATTTTAATACTGTAAATATAACTGACAAACATATTTTTGGACATCTAAGAGACCTTGTGGCCTCAAACAAAAAATAGTCTCAAAATTACGGATAGGTACAATGAAGGATCAGAATCTGAAGAGCTCTTTACAACAGTTTGTTTCAAATGCAAACTCATTCAAAGATAAAGCAGAATGCCAGAATTTCTGAGTCTCATCTGGCAACTGAGTTGATTCCTGTCAAAGCCAGTGACACTACAGGTTCTGGCTAATGGCATATTTGCATGCAACATACTGAATAGCCATTCTTGCTCAGGAATGTGTTTGGAAAAATAAAGTAGGGGAAAATAAAGTAAGAGGATGTTTATAAATAAATGATGCTTAAAATACACCTGTCTATTGAGCTTGCTTTTAAAAATGGATACTGATGATGACGGTGAAAGGAATTTTAGGTCATGTTGAATAATACAGTTAATTCTTGCCTCTACTGTGCTACTAATGAATTTTAAAAAAATGTAGCTGTAAGCAAAGCTATATAATTTTACATTTTTGATATTAATACTCAGATCTTCAATTTTCACTCCCAGGTTTTTCTGTATTTGTCCCGTATTTTGCACGGTGTAACTGTGTCACTGATTACAAATATATTTTGGTTCTAATCATGCAATAATGTACTATCTATCTATCTTCCACATTTTTCATGTCACTGTCCAGATAACCACAATTATAAAACAGTTTCAAAATCAGGTAATTTCCTTCCTTTAAATGGACAAGATGCCCTAGTGAAAGAATGGACTTAATCTCTTTCAAGCACAGGATGAGAATCCTATAGTCTTTCAAAGACTGAAGAGTTAATCTGATATGGCTTTAGGCTACCCAGGTAGGTAACAATAGCTCTATCTTCTATCCTCTAAGGGCCCAGGGAAGTCAATGTGATTGACTGTGCCACCACTGTGCTTCTAAGATGCTGGTAGCAGCCTGTAGGCTATTTGTGTCCACACAATTTGACCTTATCAAGAGTTTATCCTTCACTGGAATTTGAAGAAAAGCCCTTGAAGAATCACAGATCAGTCATGTGTGTTATTGTAATGTTTTCCAAGCAAGCTACAGCACAAGCAGTTTACGAACCATGGTGGAAGTTTCTTCCTGTCTTCTGTGTTTTATTGGAATTCTCCCTTTCATACAGCACCCTCATTAGTTTTCTTTCCTGTAACTGAATCACTCCTGATACAATTAATATCCATTACCTTTTCCATTAATAAATCAAACTAAACGTGAGACAAGTCTTTATTTTCTTTTCCTCCACAGTTTAATTAGATCATTGTTTGATAGATCTTTAAAACAGCTGACTATACTCACTTGTAATAGGGTCATAAATCCTACTAAAGATCAAATTATACATTTCTTATTATTATGCACATCACTTTAAAATGTCACCCAGCTCTTCATGTATTCTTTCTTCCTTTTTAGCAGTATGCTAATACTTCCATAGTTAATGCTTGGAAATCTCATGTTGCTTAACACTGGCTGATTTTTTTTTCCCTTTTCTTTCCTTTCCCATTCTGCAAAACAACTGAAAATACTGCCATCATCAATAATAAAAATTAAATTACTTTATTACACATGTGAGTGTAACTGATGTGCTGTCTAGCAACAGCAGAAACAAAGCTATCATATTTAAGGACATACAGACAAAAAATGAATGCTGTGTTCTGTGTGGAAAAAGTTGCCCCCGCAGATCCCTACTCAAATCAAAGGCACTTAAGAGGAGAGTTGGCTAAATTTTCCATTGAAATAATCATTTCCTAAAAATAATTTTGGCAAAAGCATTCTTTCAAACTTCATTCTCAGAATGAGAAATACCTATTTTGCTGCAATGCTCCAGCAAAGCTCCAGCAAAGCCTTGCCTGCATTGAACACCCTGCAATTTTCAGCCTAATGAGTCAAGGCTGACAAAATAATAAGGAACTGAAAACAGGGTCTGATGACTTGAAAGCACTAAGGAAGCTTACCCCACAGGGCAAACTCACCTACCAGCTCTGCATAGTGTGGAAGGAACATTTAAGTATGACAAGATGTATGTGCTACTGTTGACTTGACTTCACCCAAAATCACAAAATACGCCAACATTTTCTGACACAAAAAGAAAAAGTCATGTTAGTTGCAACAGAGTTTATCAGTTAAGCATGATTATTCTTAATGGAAATCTTTCCATACATATGGGAATATTCTTTTTAATGATTTCTTTTCAGACCTTTAAAGGTGTTAGTGATTTAATAGCTTTAATTTTAACAATTTCCTTTAGAATAATGGAGTTCTAGTTATAAAATATACAAATGAGTACTTGAGAATTAAGGCCATAACATTCAGCCTCCGTTGTAGATTGTGCACAATTGGTTTAACTTAACCTAGAGGCAACACGTGCAATAGGGTCTGAGGGGACACTTATTTCTAGAAAGTCAAACTCTCCCATTTTGTTTGGAGGTCCAGATGCTGCATACTGTCTGCTGAAAAAGCAATCTGTCTTGGGAAAATCGCAGCTGTTTCCCTAGAATTTGAGTTTACTTATCACATTCTGTGCTTTCCACAAACACCCTGTGTACTGCATATGGCTCTCTACTGTTCTTTAACTGACGTTCCTGCATGCCAAGAATTTCATTCCATATTTGCTTTTTCCTGACTGTCTTCAGGATTAATACAGTGAGTTTTCCCTGGATTCATCCCAGACCTACTTGGTCCTGCCAGATACTGAGAAACGTGACCCTAAGCTGGAAAAGAATTCAACTTTTGCAACATCTTAAATACAAGGATAGCATTGTGCTGGTGAATGAGCCTTTTGGGAGAGATACACTGAAAACTGTCAGCACACTGGGGTTTGTACCATCACTGCCACAAGCTGAGTCAGGTAATAGGTACCCTGAACACCACACATTAACCAAAAGAAGTTCCTCAAATCTACACAGGAGCTAAATTTCCACAAAGAGATAAAGTGGCTGCTGATGTTTGCCTCTCAGGCACTTGGGTGGAAAACGAGTTCCACAAACGAATGACTTTTCAATTCCCTGTTCACATGTTTATTGCAATCCATGTGCAGAGAGGGGCTGATGATTTTCCACCTGTCCATAATGTTTCTAGCATTATGCAGCAGTCGGGGACTGAGGACTGCTGGGTGCCAACCAGAGCAGAGACAGGAAAAGGAGCCACTCATGGAGTATGAGCAAGCATGGCACACACAGAGTGGTAGGACTGCAAATTCAGTTCCTAAGGCACAAATAGCTTATTGGGTTTTATCTCTGGCTGCCCAAAGGCCAGGGTCTGGCAAATGGCTACAGATAAACAAATAGTGCCATTAGTAAGTGCCCACTTGGACCCTGAATGTGCTTTTTCTTGTACCTATTGACTGCAAAGGATGCAACGTATCAAAGGCTGAAATCAGAAAAGCAGAAATTAGAACTAGAACTGCATTTAACAAAAGGGCTTAGATGCACCTGTGGATTTAAAATATTCCAAAATACTAAAATGGAAAAGTTCACTTTTTTGAAGTTATCCTGAAATAATTACTTTGGGTAACACTTTTAAAGCAAAATATAAAAATGACCGTAACTATTAACTCAAAAGATAGTGTTTGCTTGGACAAGACATATAAAAAAGCATGATCACAAATGCTGTAGCAGTGACAGTACTGCAATGCAATGGAACGGGAATATGAATACTCCTACACATGTAATGATGAAGAATACAGAATCAAAATAACCTTATTTGAATGGGTGTTAAAGCACTTTTGAACCACCCATGTCCACAGCCTACGGGGTGCTTTGTAAAGGCAGTAAATAGTTGTGCAGCCTTTGAAAAAATGTAGAATATATGCTCGCAGCTCTCAAAGTAATACGCTACACTATCCACCCTTTATGAGGGTTTTCTCTCAGAAATCTGAAACAATACAGACACCGATCTTGCACAGGTCGTGCAAAGCCCTTTGCAGAGGTCCCGGGTATGGCTGTGTGTGCTCCGGCACACGGGGAACAGGCAGCAAGGACTAGAGAGTGGGAGCATTCACAGTCCTGCCCTTCGATGGTCTCTGGTAGGTTTCCCTGCAGGTGCACTGTGACAATGACAATTCCTACTCTGTCAGTTCATGAAGTTGAGCCTCCTCCAGTGAAACTCGTTACACGTTACTACGGGCCCGGGACACAAGCGATGTGCAGGCGCGGGGTAGGGCCTGACCCAGCCTCTGCCCGGCCCGGGCAAGGAGAACGCTGGCGCGGGACCGGCGGGGCT